ATTTTTCTTCCCAGCAAATAATTTTAGAACAGAAAATTTCTAGTCACAACCTTGACTCCTTCCGGTTGACTTTTTTTAGCATGACCTTTTGCCCTACGACAGCAATAGTCATTAAAAAAAAAACGACGTGACAAGCCGAAAAAAAACCCCGAAAAAAAGCCTAAAAAGAAACAACAAAAAAAAAACAACAACAACAACGAAAAACTGGTAAGTTGAAGTCAGTCAATCACTGAAGCGTAACACTGTACAAAGGTTATTGCTGGAAGCGAGAAAATCCGATTCTTGCATCAAACCGCTGGAAAACGTTGTCCACTTTACAGCCTACATCTAGCCTTGGTTTCTGACATTACATTCTAGAAGTTCTACTATTTTAAAAAACTCAACAAACGGGGCCCAGAGGCTGTTTTTTAATGGCAGTATTTTTCTAAAAACCGATGGTTGAAAATGTAAACTATTTATAGAACTTTGAGTTTTGTTGGATATGCAAATTATGTGTTAAGTTGAAGGCCGTGTTCTTAATAGATGGGTGAAGGTCATTCCCAGACAGAGGAGCGAAAGATATGACCGTTATAGATGGGTGAAGGTCAAATCCTCAACAGATGGGTGAATGTGATTGTTTTGGTACAGAAAAGCATCACACATCACATATATTTGGGTTGAAAGACATACATCACACATATTTGGGTTGAAAGACATACATCACACATATTTGGGTTGAAAGACATACATCACACATATTTGGGTTGAAAGACATACATCACACACATTTGGGTTGAAAGACATACATCACATATATTTGGGTTGAAAGACATACATCACACATATTTGGGTTGAAAGACATACATCACACATATTTGGGTTGAAAGACATACATCACACATATTTGGGTAGAACTAAATCACGGATCACCGATATATGGGTAAAATAACATACTACATCACCGATACTTAGTAGAATTACATCATCAGTAGTTGGATAGAAACACACCATCAGTAGTTGGATAGAAACACACCATCAGTAGATGGCTACAAACACACCATCAGTAGTTGGATAGAAACACACCAGTAGTTGGATAGAAACACACCATCAGTAGTTGGATAGAAACACACCATCAGTAGTTGGATAGAAACACACCATCAGTAGTTGGATAGAAACACACCATCAGTAGATGGCTACAAACACACCATCAGTAGTTGGATAGAAACACACCAGTAGTTGGATAGAAACACATCAGTAGTTGGATAGAAACACACCATCAGTAGTTGGATAGAAACACATCAGTAGTTGGATAGAAACACAACATCAGTAGTTGGATAGAAACACACCATCAGTAGTTGGATAGAAACACACCATCAGTAGTTGGATAGAAACACACCATCAGTAGATGGCTACAAACACACCATCAGTAGTTGGATAGAAACACACCATCAGTAGTTGGATAGAAACACACCATCAGTAGTTGGATAGAAACACACCATCAGTAGTTGGATAGAAACACACCATTAGTAGTTGGATGGAAACACATCAGTAGTTGGATAGAAACACATCGTCAGTAGTTGGACAAAAACAAGTCGAGCGTTCGATAGAAACACAACATCAGTAGTTGGATAGAAACACACCATCAGTAGATGGCTACAAACACACCATCAGTAGTTGGATAGAAACACACCATCAGTAGGTGGATAGAAACACATCATCAGTTGTTGGATAGAAACACAACATCAGTAGTTGGATAGAAACACATCATCAGTAGTTGGATAGAAACACATCAGTAGTTGGATAGAAACACAACATCGGTGGTTGGATAGAAACACATACCAGCGTTGGATAGAAACACAACATCGGTACGGTAGTTGGATAGAAACACAACATCAGTAGTTGGATAGAAACACATCTTCAGTAGTTGGATAGAAACACAACATCAGTAGTTGGATAGAAACACATCATCAATAGTTGGATAGAAACACATCATCAGTAGTTGGATAGAAACACAACATCAGTAGTTGGATAGAAACACATCATCAATAGTTGGATAGAAACACAACATCAATAGTTGGATAGAAACACGTCATCAGTAGTTGGATAGAAACACATCTTCAGTAGTTGGATAGAAACACAACATCAGTAGTTGGATAGAAACACATCATCAATAGTTGGATAGAAACACATCATCAGTAGTTGGATAGAAACACAACATCAGTAGTTGGATAGAAACACATCATCATTAGTTGGATAGAAACACATCAGTAGTTGGATAGAAACACAACATCAGTAGTTGGATAGAAACACATCAGTAGTTGGATAGAAACACAACATCAGTAGTTGGATAGAAACACATCATCAGTAGTTGGATAGAAACACATCATCAGTAGTTGGATAGAAACACATACCAGCGTTGGATACAGCTAACATGACAGCCTTCACCAAAGTTTCTAGGAAAGTTAGGTCCACACCGTTAATTGAACAGCCTCTAAGTGAATTTTCCAAATACACGTCACAAGTCTCGGTCCCCAGGTTCTGACGTCACACGATGACCTAAGCTACATGACCACAATACTCCATCACGCAATGTCAGGGTAATGAAAAAAATGTCATTGATTAGTCGCCCGTCCCGCGGAACAATAAAAAACTAAGACAACTCGAGAGTTCTCTACCAAACAAGAAAGAAGGAAAAAATCGCGAGATTTCTGCAGCTTTGCTGATCTCGAGAGTATCTATTTATTCCCTGATGTGTTGATGAAGATTAAACATCTCTAGTCCACCAAGTTGTAGATATATTGAGGGGTTGGTTTCAAGGTGACCAATTACTTATTCATTCCGTCAACGTCTAACGAATTATTTGGGTCAACTGGCTAATTTGATACACATTACTGGTTTCATTCACTGAAAAACATTGGTGATTTGTATGTTTCACTAGGTTCGTTACACATATGCATATGGTCAAACGTTGGTTACATAATGCTAAACTACGGTTAAACGTTGGTTAGATATGTTAAACTGTCAAACGTTAGTTACATATGTTAAACTACGGTCAAACGTTGATTACATAATTATGTTAAACTACAGTCAAGCGCTGATTACATATGTTAAACTACAGTCAAGCGCTGATTACATATGTTAAACTACGGTCATGCTAAACTATGGTTAAACTTTGGTTCCTTTTTGCTCTACTCTCGTTAAATTTTGTTACAGATTGCAAGACAATGGTAAAAAATTGTTACTTCTGCCTCTGGTCAGTCGAATGATTCGACCCTACTGCAAAATCACAGAAAATAACATTTGAAATAACACAGAAAATAATACTTGAAATAACACAGAAAATAACATTTGAAATAACAGAAAATAACAATTATTGAAATAACACAGAAAATAAGACTTTAAATAACACAGGAAATAACATTTGAAACAACACAGAAAATAACACTTGAAATAACACAGAAAATAACATTTGAAAAAAACACTTCAACCTGCCAAAATTTCTTCTTGTAAATTTTTTTTTAACATTGAGAAAAAAAAATGGTGAAACTACAAACTAATGACATGCAAAGATATCGGAAATCTTTAATCTAAGCACTAATCCATACTAGTTTGGCTTTATTTTCGGAATCAGCAGCAGGCATTCAACATTCTGGACTGAAAACTTTTTCAATCGATCAGAAGGTTTTTTGTTTGAAAATTTTAGCTAATGAGTAGTTTTTGTTTTGTTTTGTTTGCTTAAGGTTTTAGCAGTAAAGAGTAGCTTGTTTTTGTGAGAGTTATATGTCAGCATGTTTTAGCGAATAAGTAGTTTGGTTTTGTGAGAGTTATGTGTTAGCATGTTTTAGCGAATAAGTAGTTTGGTTTTGTGAGAGTTATATGTCAGCATGTTTTAGCGAATAAGTAGTTTGGTTTTGTGAGAGTTATATGTCAGCATGTTTTAGCGAATAAGTAGTTTGGTTTCGTGAGAGTTATGTGTTAGCATGTTTTAGCAAATAAGTACTTTGGTTTTGTGAGAGTTATATGTCAGCATGTTTTAGCGAATAAGTAGTTTGGTTTTTCAAAAGATCGTTTTTATGCAGTTAAAAGCTTTTGTAATTTAACGTTAATTAGTAGACTGCGTTAATTACTACAACTTGTTTTTAGTCTAATTCCGTATGTGACGATAAAGATTAAAGTGCAGTATCGAATGAGGTAATCAGTGGCGTGTGTTGTCTAAGATCTGAAAGTGTGAAGGCCACGACTAAACATTCAAGGCTATAGCTAGAGATGGTAGTTAAACGGCTGGAAGTGGAGTGCGGGGGGGGGGGGGGGGCACAGCTATGGCCCTGAGTTAAAATGTGAAACTATTGATAGCACCAGCTGTGGCTGTGGTGATATTTCAGCATTGTTCCCAGCTATAGCCGTAGATTAACGTAGCTGGTGATATTTCAGCATTGTTCCCAGCTATAGCCGTCGATTAACTCGGCTGTGGTGATATTTCAGCATTGTGCCCAGCTATAGCCGTAGATTAACGTGACTGTGGTGATATTTCAGCATTGTGTCCAGCTATAGCCGTAGATTAACGTGACTGGTGATATTTCAGCATTGTGCCCAGCTATAGCCGTAGTTTAACGTAGCTGTGGTGATATTTCAGCATTGTGCCAGCTATAGCCGTAGATTAACGTGACTGGTGATATTTCAGCATTGTGCCCAGCTGTAGCCGTAGATTAACGTGGTTGTTGTGATATTTTAGCATTGTTCCCAGCTGTAGCCGTAGATTAACGTGGTTGTTGTGATATTTTAGTTGTCCAGCTATAGCCGTAGATTGACGTGACTGATGATATTTTAGCATTGTGCTCAGCTATAGCCGTAGATTAACGTAGCTGTGGTGATATCTCAGCATTGTGCCCAGCTATGGCCAGGTCTATGAGAGCATAAATGAAACTGTGGAGGCGGTGAGCGCTTCCCGCCATAGCCGCGACACCGCCTGCGCGAGATCGATGCGCGAAGGACAATGTTGTTTCTTACAGTGTGACGTCAGCGGCTCGTATAAAACCGAAGGGGCGCATTACTTTCTGGAACGTACTGTTGCATGTCCCAAGGTTCGTGGCGCTCAAAACTAAAAACCTGCCAATTTTTAGTTAGTCATTTCGAAAAGAAAGTAAACAGTGATTTAGTTTTTCTCAAAGAACTGAGTAGGGCCGCATTTTAGAACGACTCACCAAAGTTGACCTTTGCAACATTACATTCACTGGTAAGAAATTTTCGTGCTCTTCTCATATATATATATATATATATATATATATATATATATATATATATATATATATATATATATATATATATATATACACTTTTCAAGGAAATCCTACTTATTTAAAATTTTTAGGATTGCCAAAACGTTTAAGTTAAAGAAATACTTCGCTGGGTTATATAGTTTATTTGTTGTACATGAGAGAGAATATCTTTCCGGAGAAAAATTTAGCCGAAGTTAAAGATCGCTAGAACTTCTTCCTTTTTGGTTTTTAATTGTAAAGTTGGTCAGCATTTCCTCCAACACAATTAAGTTACGTGTCAACAAATTATGCACCATGTGATCCGCTTACTCAGATTTCAGCCTGCTTTTCTTTTTGGATTAACTTCTATAGCCTTGTCTATCCAAGAAAAAACTTAAAGGCAGCATTTTTAAAAATTCTTCCCGGGCTTCGAACTCTGGACCTTTTGGTTTAGTAGCCAAGAGCTTTACCGCTCCTTAAACATAAACACTTACGCCGTCTATAAGCCGTCTGATGTTATTTGAACTTTGCCTATGTTCTTGCAGTATTAACCCTGATCACAACAATTACACCGTTATACGTCTTCTGATGTTACTTGAACTTTGATTCTGGTCTTACGGTATTCACCCTCATCAGAGCTTTTCTCAGGCGTCTCTCAGGGGTGACACTACCTCCCCTCCACCTGCCCCGGAGCACGTCCAACGCACCCCTACCCATGAATTCGAAAAAAATAAAAATTATAGAAAATATTTACTTCAATTAGTTTCCCCACCGCCGCCCTCCGTAAAATATGTCTGGGAAGAAACTGGCTCTAATTAAATCTACTTGTCCATGTTTAAAACAGACAAAAAAGTGTTGCATGTTAAACACATTTTCGACGAATTTATGACAGCAGACCAATTATTCAAGTTCAACGTATTACTGTCTCTCGGAGTTATAAAGTACAAATTGCTTATGTTAAAATTAAAATTGTACTTTTAGCAATGCAGTTTGCCCATTTGCATAAAAACCAAGCATTTAAAAAAACGCAAACGCCAAACACCGTAACAATAAAATCTTGCGTCATTTAAAATTCTAGCACTTTTATTCTTCTGAAACAATTGATTGACATTCATTCACTTGTCTGCCTGCTTGTTAACAAATGGTTTCGTTAGATTCTTTTGCTGTATATAAAAGTAGTGTAAGCAGTTTCTACAAAGGTTTTATTTGTTCTAATACACGTCAACTAATAAAAAGACACGAATAGACGATTGGTACAGGAATAAGTGTAGTCTAAGGGGTCATCCATAATTGACGTCTCGCTTTTTTTGACGATTTTTACCTCCCCCCCCCCTTCCCCTACGTCACACGTCGTCACAAAAAGCCAGACCCCCCCCCCCCCCTAAAATGACGTTACACCTCAGCCTACCCCCCCCCCCCCCCCTCAAAATTGCAGTTGAATTTTTTTTTAAACATCGATATTTTTCCAAAATCTTATCTGAAATATGTCAAAGTAGAGTATTTTAATCAATTCCTATTATAATTTATTAAAACTGTTTTCTAAAACGCGAAATAGCGTCTAAAATTCGTTTCCAAACATTTTTTTATCTATTAAGCAAAAGTGTGACGTCGCACCATTTGACCCCCCCCCCCTCCTACGAGTGTGACGTCATTTATGGACGACCCGTAATCGGTGTTAAACATGGTGATGTTGGTTAACTGGTGTTAAACATGGTGACGTATTGGAAGACAATGTCCTGTGTAGATATTGTCGGCTGAATGTCGTGTGCAGTTAAGTTTTAAAATATATATTTGGCGGTTATTTTCTGTTTGCAATGGATTGGTGTGTCTGGGATGTGTCTGCTTGTGTTTAAGATACCTCCTCATTTTTCTTGATTGCTGTCCCATTAAATTATCTAATCTAATCTTTAGGTAACTTTATCCCCAATTTTTAGTTAATTTAATCCGATCTTTAGGTAATCTTACCAAATCTTTAATCTTACACAATCTTAAGATAATCTTACCCAGCGTAAACACCATGATGTAGCCTCTTTTGAACTAGCGAACTAAGTGACATGTATTGACATTCTTTAGTCAATCTTTAGGTAATCTTACTCAATCTTTAGGTAGTCTTACGCAATCTTTAGGTAACCTTACTCAATCTTTAGGTAACCTTACTCAATCTTTAGGTAACCTTACTCAATCTTTAGGTAACCTTACTCAATCTTTAGGTAACCTTACTCAATCTTTAGGTAGTCTTACTCAATCTTTAGGTAACCTTACTCAATCTTTAGGTAACCGTACGCAATCTTTAGGTAACCTTACTCAATCTTTAGGTAACCTTACTCAATCTTTAGGTAACCTTACTCAATCTTTAGGTAACCTTACTCAATCTTTAGGTAACCTTACTCAATCTTTAGGTAACCTTACTCAATCTTTAGGTAACCTTACTCAATCTTTAGGTAACCTTACTCAATCTTTAGTTAATCTCACCCAGCGTAAACACCATGATGTAGCCTCATTTGAACTAGCGAACCAAGTGACATCTACTGACATTTGAACTAGCGAACCAAGTTACGTCTATTGACATTTGAACTAACTTATTAAAATTACTAGGTTACATTTTACTACCATAACAATTGATATATATCTGCCTTTTCAAGTTAAAAATTGTAAAAAAAAATAATCCAAGATGGCCGCCATCACCATGGCATGACATGTTCGGTATTTTAAAATTTTTTTAGACATAAATATTATAGCATTAAGTTTAGAAATAAGCATTTTGGTTAGTTTGGTTTTCATCATCCGCCCATGCCCTTAAAGCTAGCAATCTATGTGCCTCTCAATAGCATACCAATTAACATTTGAATTGGCGTACCAATTGTCATTTGATCTGGCGTATCAATTAAAACTTCAGCTCCCGTATCAATGGAGATTTGAGCAAGCGAACAAATTAACACTTGCACTACGTTACCATATGACATTTGTGTCACCTTTATCTCTCCACACCCCACATTCAACTCCCCACACACCACCTTTAACTCCCCACACACCAACCTTTAACTCTCCACACCCCATATTTAACCCCCACACCCCTAATCAACACCTTACACCCCACTTTTAACTCCCCACACCATGACCTTTAACTCTCCACACCCCCAAAATTTCACAATTTGAAATAAAACGATTCTTCATTAATTTTCCACACACTAGAGATGCTGAACCACTTACACAACCACAAAAAATTCTAAACGCTCTCAAGATCTTGACGTTTTTCTTGCCAGATTTTTCAGCCGTTTCCTTTCAGCTTGGCGGAAAACTTGGCTCGCATGAGATAATGTGAGGGTGAGCGTTAATCTGGGTTACGGTTGGCGTCAAGGTTACGGTAAACTTCCAACAGATTTGTGCCAAAGTTATGGTCAACTTTTAGCACATTTTTTAAAGTTTACAGTAAACTATGATTACAGTTTTTAAATGCTTACGGTAAACTATGAACACATTTTGTAATATTTACGGTAAACTATGATCAATATTTTTAATGTTTATGGTAAACTATGATCACATTTTGTAATGCTTACGGTTCACATTTTGTAGTATTTACTAAAAATATTTACCCCAGTTTGTAACTTTTCCCGCATATTTATTTATATAGTCAGGTTTGCCACATAAACCCAACAAGCGTTGCAACATCCGACCAAGGTCGCTGTGACATTATGCATACCCCAACGAATTTCGCGACATATAATTGTAGAAACTCTCAAAAACAAGTCAATTTGTTTAGCAGGTATCAGGTTGTAAAAAGTGCAAATAAACTTTAAGATCGCATGGCCAGCCTGTTGAGTGTCCCAGTGGACATTAACGAGAAAATTATTCTCATGCACAATCTCTACATATCATTCAAGTTTTTATTTAATAGACAGAGAATTACATTATCTCGTCTTTACTTGGTAAAACAGCAATAATGGATAGATTCACTGCGCTGTTGAAATGTCATTTGTTTTCAATGCATGCTTGTCTGCAAGCTATTAAATAAAATGTGCGTCTATATTTCTTAGTTTTTAGATTAATTATTTACAATGCCTATTTCTCTCGCTCAACGATTTGTTTCTGTATTATAGCCCTAATAAGGCATCCATTACACAATTGGAATTGCCTTCAACATTTTTTATAGTGGGGATGGTATTTTGATTATTATCGAAAGTGTGTTGAAGTGTGTAGGATTTATTATTATATTTTTATCAAAGGTCAAGTTTAATTTATTCTAGAGCTTAAAGAACTGTGTTATCTCACCTGAAGTCGTCTGCTCGAGGTGAAATAATTTGGTTACCTGACCTGACGTCATGTTTGTCTGGGATATTGTGTTTGTGAGTCTGTGTGACATTACTCTGGGTTAATCACCATTCAATGGGATGGGGGCAGGTGAAGTAGAGGCCCTCTATTTTAGTGACTACGAGCAGTGGCGTAGCGAGGTCGGGTGTTACCCGGTGCGGCACTTAATGGTGTCACCCCCCCCCCCCGGAGGCGTAGCGACCCTACCCGCGGACAAATTTTCAATTTGAACACCCCCCCCCCTCTCAAACTTTCGATTTGCACCCCCCTCTCAAACTTTCGATTTGCACCCCCCCTCAAACTTTCGATTTGCACCCCCCCCCCCTCAAACTTTCGACTTGCACCCCCCCCCCCCTCAAACTTTCGATTTGCACCCCCCACTCAAACTTTCTTTTTGCAACCCCCATCAAGCTTTCGATTAGCACCCCCACCCCCCTCAAGTTTTTCTCTATATATTTTGCAATTTTTTCCTTGGTGTCACCCCCGTAAATGGTGTCACCCGGTGCGGTCCTCACCCCCCGCCATCCCCCCCCCTCGCTACGCCTCTGACTACGAGATAGTGTTGTCATCACTATGCCCAGTAGTCTTTACTTTCCGAAACGTAAGTCAGGTACCCATTAGAGCTGGTTAGACTTAGGGGTTAGCAATCGAGCATTCTACCACTCAGTCC